ACTATTACACATTTCTTTATTTGGCCTGTTGGGGTGAGTGACTGGGCCTGACATGTAGAACCCCTGGAGTTTAGGCCTGAGGCCTAAAACTGCAGTTTTAATACTTGCTTGCTTAGAGATGAGTCTGAACCATTTTGCTTTACAGGGCACGTTCGAGGCTTCTTGTGACCATCTGGCATTCTCTGAGCCTGAAGTTGGACACTTGGGGGCAGAGGGCCATCTAGAGAAGCCAGGCCTGAGTTGCCATCCAGCAGTGCATAGGCAGGTGGCAGCAGGCCAGTGAGTGGGGCACTAAGTCTGAAGTCCCAGGGCATATGTCTCTTGTTGTTCATGGCCGAAGTTTTTTTTAGTGTTCTTATTTCATTGAGACTGCTCAAAAAGTTTGTTTAACTTGTCTTATTATATAGTAGCCTAATATATATACGACATATTACTGCATCCATTTTCAGAATGGTTACGTTGTCTTACTAGAAAAATGCTTCCTTAAGAGGGACTTACTGACCTATTTTAATAGGTTAAACATTAAGTGTTAAAACATTTTGGAACCATATAATTATCAGAGTCCTCTAGAGATATTTGTTTTGGACTCAATAATGGCAATACATTTGCTTTCTTCTAGAACATTGTTGCCAAAAATAAGCATTTTCATTACCTAGCAGATGGTTTAGTTATTAGGTTGGTCTGTCGTTTACTTACATTTCTTCTTGTTTTAACTTGAACTTTAGTTCTTTTTAGAAATAGTTGCTAATATCATTTAATTTGTAAGTCTCATCTTCCCCAAATAGAAAGAGTAGAAAGAGTAAAAAGGTCAGTAGCTTTTTCTTTTTCTTTCTTTTTTTGTTTTGTTTTGTAATAGCATTTCTTCAATGAAGCAATTGCTGAGATTGGCCAACTTCAGTCTTTCCCATAATGTTGCTGTTGGTTCATGACAGCACAAAATTATACAGTTTTACTTAGAAACTTGAGTAAGACTGGCTGGAGACAAGCACTTAACTATGAAATGTTAATTTCCTATTCTTTATACTAAAATTAAAGTGAGAAATAAAACTTGGGAAAGAACTTGTGGGTATGGTAGTTCCTAATTACAAAGATTTTTCTTTGTTGGATACTTAAATCTGCATTCAAAGCAAACTTTTTGAATTCTTGATTATGTACATTTTTAACTGTATGTTTGTTTGACTTTGTTTTTTGTGTTACAGAAACATTTTTTCAGAATTTCTGTTTTCTTACATGGATAGATTGCTAAATACCAAGACATGCTGTCCTGCTCAATATCATATGTTAAAACATTTTGGAAATGTTTGCTGATCTTCATAATCCTAGAGGAAATATTTGTTTTCAACTCTAAACCAGATTGTTGTTATCAGTATCTGCAGTTTCCAACTGTGTTCACTAGAATATTAATATTCTGTTAGATGGTAATGAATATTCTGTGGAAAAAATCCTTGCTAGTAGTATCTTTTTTCCTGCGAAGTTTATTTTAAAGTACACATGTAAGAAAAATTTCAAATGTATTTAGTTGACTTATCGTTATGTAGTAATCTAACTTTAAGAAATTGTGCAGCATGCTGGAGAATGCTAGGAGTTCATTCATATTAAAGATCATTTGGGGTATGAATGCATGGCGTTTGTTAGGTGAATAGATGCATAGTCAGCATTTATCAATTCACTATTCTCTGTATGTTGTCTGTTTGGTCTTTCATCTGCTATGTCCTCATCTTAAAGCAGACGAACATAGATGTTTGTGACATTATTCAGTGTTGATTATCAAACTCCTGAACCCAATGTTGATAATTTCTTATAGCAGCTAACCTTTTGAAACCATTTTGTTGCTGTCTGCTTTAATCCAGGTATATCTCTTTAATTCCTGTTAATGTTTCATCAGAATGTTATTTTAAAGTGATCTGCAGTCATTAAATTTGGATCTGAATCTTGAATGTCCCCCAAAGGATCATATGTTTAAAGGCCTAGTTGCCAGAATGTGGTACAGTTGGGTGGTGGTGGAACCTTTTGGAGGCAGGGCCAATGGAAGGAAATTAAGTCATTGAGGGGTTGTGCCCTTGAAGGATGTACTGGGACCCTTTTTTCTCATTCCTTTGTTTGCCAGAGTTGAACAGATCTCCTCTGCCACATGCTTCTGCCATTATGTACTGTGCTACCATAGGCTCAAAGCAATAGGGTCAAGTCACCATGGACTGAACCTCTGAAACTGTGAGCGGAAATAAATTTTTCCTCTTTATAAGTTTTTTATCTCAGGTTTTTGTCCCAGTGATGGAAAACTGACTGATATGTCCAGTGAAATAATTTATAAAGTGATGATCAGTTCTTATATGTTAAAAATTTTTTTAGCCTGAGTTATGTATGTTTCTAAAAGTAGAAGGTTATTTAATAATTTCTCTTATAGTAAATCCCAAATACTTGGAAAGACTTAGTAAATTCTTGGAAACTATACCCTGTGGCACAACAGTTCACCATAGGTGATGGTCTGTTGGGTTGACTGCTGCCTCTCCAACTCTTCTTGTATGTATAAACTTTATAGTATAGGCTTCTTAAAACCAGACAAGAGAAATTTCAGGTTTTTAAACTATATTTAGGGTCAAACAAACATTCAGAAAGTTTGTCATTTAAGTGATTACAATGGTTTGATGAAGGAAAGCACACTTGCCGAAAATGCTGCATTAAAACACCATGTAAATCTTTCTGATGTTTCTCTGTGCATAGAATGAGTAAGTGCCATTAAAAATAATTCCGATGAACACTCAGTGTGTGCTAGGCACTGTATTGCTTTATCTGAATCTTTAAAAATTTTGATTAGATGACTTTGAAACTTGACATTGTCATATAATTTTTTATTTAGAACATGAACTCTTTGGGTTAAAAATATTCTTGCAAATTTCAACAAACAAATCAAGTGTGATGTGCAGTGGGTAGTTTTTAAGCTTAAATAGCTCAGCTGGATTTAATTACCTTAAGGGATAAGGCTACATGATGGGCCAATGATTTGCCAAATTATTTTTCATTTTCTAGATCTTGATGTCACTGAAGGTTAATGCATCCTCTTTTCTTCACAACAGACCTAAGTTAAAATCCATTTTTAGGGCGTTAGTGTGAATGAATTTGTTGTTGTTTTTCCTCCTTGGGGACAGTTTGGTCATTTTGTGAGGCTGCCTTTCCACTTGGAATTGCTGGCTGCTCTCACAGAGCCCAGAGGCTGTCGTCACAGGGGCAGTTACAAGTCAGCATGAAAATGAACTGGCAGGCTTCAGAGGGCAGAGCTGCCCAGGGCTTGTCACTCTTCCATTCCTGGATTCTTTCTTGCTTAATTTAGGGAAACTTATTTGCTACTGACATTTGATTATAGCATATCACAAAACAAGTGATGTGTTTGTGGGTAAGCCATTGTACTTTTCTCCCTGCTACCATTTCAGGCTGGTCTGTAGTTTTGGAGTGTACAAAGCTTTCTGTATTTACAGTCTACAGATTCCAAGAATACTCCTTAGATTGCTGTAGGTTTGTGATCAACCTTTTTGATCACCAATGTGTTTCATGGTTTTTACTATTTAATGGTTTTGATTAATGCTTTAGTTTTTAAAGGCATGTTTGTATCCATAATTACTTTTAATGTTTTTAACCCTTAAGTAGGTAGTGTTATTAGTAATAGTTTGGCCTATACATAGTAGGAATATTTAGAAGCATAATCTAAGAAGGAAATGGCCATATATCTCAGCCCCCCAGGGAGCTGGTGTGGTCTTTTCCTTCCAAGTTCAGTTTATAATCATGTCTTCTTTCTTCTTAATTTTTCTCCTTTGCATTCTTGTGTTCCCTTCTTTATCATATTTTTTTTGTCTCAAAAGATAGTACCTAGAGTATATTCTTCACTTTTTTCATTTAAAAATTATAAATGATCTTTATATATAGACATACGTAAGGATAATTTTATATATATGAATAAATGAGAGCAAACCATACATGTTTTTTTCTCTTTTTGCAGTTATTAGTTTGAACCTCAATTAGTCACTTTAGGTTCCCAGAATCCTTCATCTTTTCCATTTATTGTAGGCATTCCTACTCCAATTTGATTCGTCCTATCCTTTTTCTTTTTAATATCTCATAAGCCACTTTACACCAGGAGTATCTCCTTCTCTGTAGTTTATCTTCTATTCATCCTTCAAATCTCATTTCTTCTATCAGACTGGATCAGGCTGAGGAGAGGTGATGATTGTTATTTTCCACCCATAATATTCGTGTAAGAAATGCATCCAACTCTGTGTATGCTTATAGGAAAGGAGAGCTCGATTCTATTTAGATACACACATGACTTACGCTAACCAAGCTCCAACTCATGATTACTGTGAGAATAAGCTATTGAAACACTCATATCCTTATTTAGACTTAGTTTTAAAAGGCTAAATTTTATTAAAAGTTGACTCAAACCATCAGCACGTGGGATTTGCAAGACCAGGAATGAAATAATCATTTAATTTGGGAGGTTACTTTACATGTGTCCTTTGACGAGCAGTGTGTATGTGGAAGTAAATGGCATATGCAGCTTTGTGGTGGGATTTGCAAGAACAGGAATGAAATAATCATTTAATTTGGGAGGTTACTTTACATGTGTCCCTTGACAAGCAGTGTGTGTGGCGGTAAATGGCATATGCCGCTTTGTGATGTGCTTCACATGTCTTCATGTTGTCTTTTTTATGATTTATTTTAGTTTTATCTATCTTAGATGATAAATCCTTTAAGGGCAAGACGAGGCTTGTCTACACAACACTCTACAAAGTTCAATGTATGCTTGTCAGGTTCTCATAAACTCCCTTTTGATAGTACCTTAAAATAGTCTCTGTTTCTTTTTTTATTGTACCAAATAATGTACAATATTTTATTATGACATTTTCATAACATCTATGTGAGGTACTTTAATTAAATAGTCTTATTTATAATATTGCTAGATTATTTATTTGTACTTAATTGGCTCCTCTTTTTGTTTTCCTTTTCAGGTGTCAGCAGTAGAGTCTTTGGAGGGTTCCCTGCTCCAGGTAGAAGGATTGAGTGATCTCAGGCTGGAGCTTCACAGCAAGAAGATGAACCTCCACTTGGTTCTTATAGATGAGCTGCACAGGCATCTGTACATCAAATCCACTAACCGAGTTGTGCAGCGTAACAAGGAAAAAGGGAAAATGAGGTTGGTTAAAAGGCTCTTTGCTAGTGTTTTAGGGGGCAGTTATCGGAAGAAATATTCTTTGTTTTCCAGGATACTGTAATTGATTTTATTTTTCCTTTAATGTAATATGTCTCTGAAACTTGTAGATGGTTTTATAATAACAAATACTCCATGTTCTGGGAGGCAGGCATCAAAGTTTTTTCATCTTTTGCACATTAACTGTAAGATTACAGAAGAAACACTTCCTATGGGTCTTTTATATACTGTATCAGAGATACTCTTGTTTATCTCAGAGGGAGATGAAAAAAAATCCTCAAATCGGACAGTAAAATCAGCTAAATTAAAAAATACAGATATGTGAAATAAAGTTAAAAGATTCTTTATTACTTAGGGTTATGTTCAGCTTTAAGCAGTATTCCTTCTGGAATAGTTCTGGAGAGGTTCAGAGAAACACTTTTCTTTGATTCTTTGGGTGGTTGTAGCAAACCTTATCTTTAAGGGTCTAGGTGGGCTCAAGAAATTCATTAGGTTAATGTTGACCTGGCAGGGAGTAAGACTAGATATTAAGATTTGTTGATTATTTTGGTTACTAACATATACCAGATATTGTGTGTTACAGGTATTCTTCCAACATTTCCTTAAATAAACATAAGATCTTTTCAGAGGAGATTTTAACACTATCTACTGAAATACACATGTTTATGCTTTTTCATCCAGTTATGTATCAGAGGAGCATTGGAAGCAGTGTATGCTGGGAATGAAGTCTTTCAAGTTTTGTCCTGTTTGAACAAAGAGTGCCAACTTTGTGTATAATACTTCGGTTTAGTTAGAGACCCTGGCAGAGAAAGAGGAATTTATATCTCTTTTTAGCATAAGGGCACAAATAGAACTTATGCCAGGCAAATGAATTGAGCCCCACAGTGTGTACCTGAGACTTAACTTCAAGACTGGGTCTGAATGAGCCCATTCAGTTACCCTTTCAGCAGAGTGTGAGATTTCTTCCCATGCAAGGATAAATAATAAAACAAAAATGATTGTGAGTCTTGTGTAAATTTCTATAGGAAAATGAACATTACCTTGAGGTTTTAGGAAAAGTATTTATTTGAAAAAAACTTATAAAGTAAACAAGAAGAATTTAGGAGACTTACACATGAAGTTTCTCAAAAGATGGAAGAGACATGATGTACTTAGATTAGATAATGTTCAAAATAACCTTGCCTTCTCCCTCCATTGTAGAAGTACATTTCCTATCCTTTGGTGTTTGGGTGTTTGCTTTTGTGGGCTTGAAATGTGCTTGTGATGGTAGGTGAACCTTCTTGTGCCTCTGTCAGTGCTGTGTTGGCTTTGGTATCAGGAGGAGGAAGAGAGACATGTGGAACCATCCCAAGATCAGCAGATCTGCCAGCCTTGGTCAGATAGCCACTCAAATATGTGCTTACTGTTGGTCATCACTGAGTTTTTGTCATTGTATTCAGCAAACATATAACTTTATGAAATAGTAATGGGGAGTTACAAGAATGGAATAGAGGGAGATCCTGAGAGAACTAGAACATGAATAAAGAAAACCAAAATGAAGTAAAGAAATTTTTGTCTTCACATAAAGTATTAGAGAGAATTGAATCAGCAGTATGGAGAGAAACTTCATTCATCATAAAGAGGAAAAAGACATGATGAAAGATGATAAGTATGACAGATGGAAAACAGTGATCAATACAGTGATCTTAGGTTTTCCATATGACTGCACTAAAATGATACTGTTATGAGTTGAATTGTGTCCAGTAAAAGTTCTCATATTGAAATCCTGATCCCTATTATGTCAGACCATGACTACATTTGGAAATACAATCTTTCAGGATATAATTAAGTTAAAATGAGGTCTTTAGGGTTCGTCCTAATACAGTAAGACTGGTATTCTTATAAAAAGAACAGAAAACTGGCCTGGAGGGATGAGGGTGTGAAGTCAGAGGGTCGAGATACTCTGCAATGGGGCATGGAGAAATAACCCTGCCCACTCCTTGATCTCAGGTTTCTAGCTTTCAGAATTATCATAAAATAAATTCCTATTGGTTACCACCTACCTGAGAAAACCAATACAGAGAGGTTCAGAATGTAAATAAAGAAACCTACTTAAAAGAGGGGGACCAGACAGAGGAGAGATGGTCTGCAAATTAAAAAAATTCAAGATAAAATTAAAAAAATGCCTCTTATTCTGGAAAGCTTTTGGTTTAATGGTAATTGAAGGGCCTCATGCCCTCAACTTAATCTCTATATATTTTCGGCCATCCTTGGGTTTGAATTCAAGGCCTCATGCTTGATAGGCAGGGATTCTACCATTTGAGGTATGCCCCAGACCTGGTAATTTTTATTAAAGACAAATTGTAGAGTTAGCAAGATCCCATCTCAACAAATAAGCTGAATCTGGTGGTGCACAAGTGTAATCTCAGCAAAGCAAGTGGTATGGGAGGATCAAGCTCAGAGGTTGGAACCATGTAAAAACTTGAGACCCTCTCTGAAAAATAACTAAAGCAAAAAAGGGCTGGGGGCATAGATCAAATCCTAGTACCAGAAAAAAAAATTCTATAGAATTTGCACTAGAAAGAAAAATAATGTTTTCTGCTGTGATATATTATTTGCCTATACAGAATCCATTCTCCCCTTCATTTTTAATAACAATCCTTGTTTTCATTCTGGTGACCACAGGCCCAGCCAAAAAGCTTCATTTTCCATTCTTCTATGTAGCTAGACCTGTACTTGAAAAGTATTGCTTTAAGACTCATAGGAAAAAGTTTTAAAGCTGCCTAGTAAGCTCGTAGAACAATTCTTTTATCCTTCACTTGTCTCCTTCCTCTCTTTTTTATCTGGGACATGGATTAGTGCCATGAATTTGTGTTAGATGTGAGATGACTTTGAGGATAGAAGTCATATTCTAAACCCTTTGATGACATCTAACCTCTTTTTGACCCCTGGATGGGTTGTCTCAAACATGAGAGGAAAGAATATCATTTTACTCAGATCACTACTATTTGGGTCTTCTGTTTTATAGCTAACCCTAATTTTGATGTATAAAAGGGAGCAAAAATTAGGCTCACCAGAATAGTCTCAGCACTAAATGCCAGGAGACAGTTGAGCAAGGTCAACAGTGTTAGATGGAGAGGAGTTAGGACCAAAAGTTTCTATACCTACAAAAGTGGACATTGGTACAAGTAGGCAGCAAGGAGACTTTCTTAGACATAAATGAATTCATAGTGTTTTCATTTCCTAAGAGAAATGCTTAAAGGTGAACTTTTCAGACATAAATTAAATCATAACTTGAGAACAATAAAACTGCAGGTAGCTTAAAAAAACTGTGAGGACCAAACACCATTAAATATGTAAATGTGTGTGTATGTATATATATATATAATATATATATATATATATATATATGACACATCTTTTTAACAAGGTTAAAAATATAGGATGAAAACTATTGTTGAAAAAGAAGGTCTGCATGGTCAAGAAATATTTTCTAATAATAAATGGAATTTATATACCCAAATTAAGTTAGTAGAGTTTGGGAAATTTGAGTAGGCAGGAAATAAAAGGAATGCTAAATTCTTCATTAAGATGAGTCAGAAGTTGGTTTGTTTTAGAATTTAACAGAGAAAATATATTTTGTTTGTTTAATTTTGTTTTTATTACTATTGTTTAATTTTGTTTTTATTACTGTAGATATGTGTATTTAGAGATTCTGTATTATTTAAGAATCTAATAAAGAGAAGACAGAATCAAATAAAACACTGTGGCAAAGGGTGATGTATTGGCTAAGGTTCTTGATTACAAATAGCTCAAATCAGTTCTGATGATTAAAATAGGAGAGGAATTTATTATAAAGTTATCAGGTGTGTCACAGAATCTAGGGGAAGTCTGTCTAATCAGGTTCTCAAACCCATTAGGAATCAGGCAGATTAAGTAGCTGAGCAAACAATCTTAGACAAGCCATAGGAAGGATCTGGGAGGGTTGCTACCATTGCTGTCATCACACCTACAATGGCTGGATTTTAAACTCTCCTGTAAACATTCCTACATGTTCTGTTTCTTTCCTTTATCTCCTTAAAGTTTCAAAGTCCTGGATAGAAGAATCCAGTAAGCAGAGCAGCTTGGGTCGTATCTGGCCTCCTTCAGCTACCATAGCAGGATGTAGGGCCCTCTTTTTGCCTTGACTCTGGCTATGTGGATTCTGTCCAAATACAAAGACTGTTCAGATGGTTGGTCCTCAAAACAAACACTGAAGGATCAATTTCTACTGCATAAGAAAACAAAAGAAGTCACATTAAGGCGTATACATAATAAGGAACAGATTTTTGTAGCACAAAATAGACAACTAGTACAAGTGACAAAATAAAGGTACATGACTACATGAACAAAATAATAAAAATTGTAAGGAGGAAATGAAATAAATAAATGATGTAACTGTCCATGTTCTTAAAAAGGTTCAAGATCATAAAGATGTCAGTACCACTAAAATCCTAGTAGTGGTTTTTGAAACTCAAAAGTTTCACATGGAAGGTCACATGGAAGAATAAATATATAAGAACTGCTTAACAAATTAAGGAGGGAGGTTTTTCTTATTTAAACTGTAAAGCTACTTCAATCAAAACACTATAGGCATGCAAACAGAAAATCGCACTCTGGGACAAAATAGAGTTTAGAAGCCAACCCCAGGATTCATGGGACTTTAGCATTTCTTAAATAGTAGTCCAGGCCACTGGTGGAATGGGTGATGTGTTAGTTTTATCATCACTGTGCCCGAATACCTGAGCAAACCAACTTAAGGGAAAGAAAAATTTATTTTTATTTTAGCTCATGGTTTCAGTCCATCAAGGTGGGGGTGTGTGGTGGAGGAGTAGAGCTGTTCAACTCCTGGCATTCAGGAAGAACAGCAAGAAGAGGGCAAGGCAAGATATAGCCCCCAATGACATGCCCTCAGTGACCTTTTTCCTCTAATCAGGCTTTGACTTCCACAGTTCTACCATCTCCCA